CAGCGCCCTTTTGCGGCCCAACCCTACCCTTGCCCGCCTGCTCCGCGCACATGGAGCCCCGGAGCCTGAGGACGAGGACAGACCCAGCCCCTCCAGCAGCAGCAGTGACAGCGACAGCGATAGTGACAACGCGGATGAGGGCGTGAGTCCAGAGGAAACCCCAGGGGTGTGTGGGGGGTGGGGCTGATGGGAAAGGAAGGAGAACCACCGTGGGCAGGCACGTGGACAAGCAGAGGTAGAGAGAAGCCTGTGGTCACAGTGGCTGCTGGCAGGTGCGTACAGGCCACGATGGGACTCCTAGAAGAGGTGGGGACAGGAAGCCAGAGAGCCCACGTGACCGAGATGTGACCCTGGGCAGAGACAGTGTGGCATGTCGGAGACCACGGTCTTCGGGCAGGAAGTGAGGGAAGGGAGGAGAGGTCTGGAGTTGCCAAGGCCACAGCCTGAGTTTAATGGGGGAGCACAAGGCATAGCAGCCATGACCTTGAACACGGGATTATGAGAACGAGGAGCAGAGGGGCTGAGTCGGCATGTTGGGGCTTGGGCCTTCGAGGGAGTGGTCCTTAGGATGCTGTGTGCCGCCTTGGGCAGGGGGTAAGGTGGCTGTCGCCATAAGTCTCCTGCCTACCCGCCTTTGTCCCCAGACTGAATATGATGACATCGTGGTCCACAGCAACCGGAGCCAAAGCCGGCCATCTCCCAGTCCGCCCTCCAAACCTCGCCCCGAAGACCCCACCTCTGTCTGATTTTTAAATTGTTAATATAATTTCCCATTTAATAAACTCAGTTCTGACACCTTGACACGAGGCTGATGGCTGCCTTTCCCAGGCTCCCTGCTCCCTGACCCCCACATGGCCACACTTGGATCCTTGGTTTTCTCTGCTTTATTTGCTCAGAAGGGCTGGCAAGGGGCGGGATAGGTGTGGGGGGCATTTCCTGAGTCAGGTCTGAGCCCAGTCTCCCTCCCCAGCTCAGACTGGGGTCCCACACCCCCCAGCTTGGTTCCAGGGCACCTTTCTACCACTGCCGAGCCAGGCAGGTAGAAGAGTCAGGTGCCAGGTGAGGCGGGGGGTGGGCCTGGCAGGAGAGCAGTCCTGAGCCATGAGAAGTGCAGGGAGGAGGAGACGGTGGGGGGGAGTGTCAGGGGGTCTCAGCCGTCCCTCCTGAGCTCCCGCCCCAGCGCCTCAGACGCCTTCCTCAGCTCCTCTGACACGTGGACCAGCCGCTCCGTATCCTGCTCCTAGTGGGACCAGAAATGGGGGAGGGGTTCACCAGGCTTCATTGTCTGCCCCGGAAGTGATGTGGTGGGCCAGTGTGACTGGCACCAAGGTCCGTACTGATGGCCATAGCCGGAAGCAACGGCCATGGGACTAGTAAGGCTGCCCCACCTGGGTGACCCTCAGGTTACTGCAGCCCGTTGCAGCCACGTCTTGCCTCCCACAACCACACAGTGGCGTCACTTGTGGTAAACCAGCCCAGTAGCCACTCGTCATATGGCCAGCCCCCCGTGGGCCCTGCAGCCCACTCACCTCTCTCTCAGCAGCCTCAGCCCCAAGTGGCAGGTACTGTTGCTGATGGTGATGGTGTGGGTAGGGGTCGTCAGCCCTCTCGGGCCCCTGCCACAGGCTGTGGCCTCCACCATCCACATGCACGCCCTTCTCCTCCGCCTCGGCCTCCCGCTTCTGGGGGTCCCCTCCATCCTCGGAATGCAGCTTCCACAGGTGCTGCAGGCCCTCCACAAGCTCTTGCTTCTGCAGCTCCTCCTCCTCCCGGAGGAGCTGGCGGTGGAGCTGCTCCAGGCTCTCTGAGCGCTGGGGCCTGACCACAGCCTCCGGAGAGATCCTATGGTAGAGCCGCTCCAGGTTCTCCGAGTGCTGGGGCCTGTCCGCGGCTTCAGCCTCCGGAGAGATCCTGTGGTGGAGCTGCTCCAGGTTCTCCGAGCGCTGGGGCCTGTCCGCGGCTTCAGCCTCCGGAGAGATCCTGTGGTGGAGCTGCTCCAGGTTCTCCGAGCGCTGGGGCCTGTCCGCGGCTTCAGCCTCCGGAGAGATCCTATGGTAGAGCCGCTCCAGGTTCTCCGAGTGCTGGGGCCTGTCCGCGGCTTCAGCCTCCGGAGAGATCCTGTGGTGGAGCTGTTCCAGGTCCTCTGAGGGCTGGGGCCTGTCCGAGGCCTCCTCCTGGTCCCTCCCCTGCTGCTCAGCCCTCGGCTGTGCCTGGCGGAAGTACCCAGGCAGCAGGCTCCACGGGGAAAACTGGCAGGTGGAGGGCTCCACGTGGCACTTCTCATTCAGGAAGACGGAGCTCTCTGCATAGCACATCGGGAAAACCCAGGGAGGGAGGGCTGGATGGGCGGGGGCTGAGTCCCTTCAACGGAGACATACAGAACTGGAAGAGGATAAAGCTGGTGGGCATGCCAGGATAGTCCGGGTGTGGGAGAGGGGGCAGTGCTAGGGCGCCCACTCCTCACCTCGGAGCAGAGACGTGCAGGGGCTTCTCGGGGCCTGGCCCAGCGTCAGGATGTCGGTGACCACCTCTGCCAGACAGCGGGTCAGCTGCGGGGACAACGGGGAGGAGTGATGAGGGCGCTTGGAGGGGAGAGCGGGCAGGAGGTCAGCGAGACAGAGCGGAGGGTCGACGGTGCTCACCTCCTGCTTGGAAGGGCCGGTTGTCAGAGCCACGGGAGCAGCAGAGGCTGTGGAGGGAGAGAGGACGGGGCGCTGGGCTCGGGGCGATGGCAAGGGGCGCGGGCCGGGGTATGGATCGCCCCACACGCGGCCCTCGGTCCCCACACGTGCTCCCCACGGTCCCCCGGGGGTTTAGGGTACCCACTGGTCGCCAGCAGCAGCAGCAGCAGTACCAGCAGCGTGGAGGGGAGCCCGAGGCGCGGCATGGCGCGAGGTGGCGGGGCCTGCATCCCAGGTGTGAGGGCCGACGTACCAGCGTCCTTATATCCCCGCATGGCGGCCCCTGCAGGGAAGGAAGTGACGTCAGCCTCGTGGCCTGCGGCGGGGCGACAGCTGCGGGACGGCCCGGGCCCCCACCAAGATCCTCAATTATTCATGGGGGGCCCCACGCCTTGCCAGCGCTGCCCTCGAGGGGAGCTCCGAGAGGGGGCCGCATCCCTGGCTTGGAATCCACAGCCGCTGGCGACCCGCCCTCCACAAGGCCCTGCTGGGCCTCCTTTCCTCAAAGTCGGTCTCCCAAATCGACGTCCTTGGAGTGGGGTTGCAGAACAGGCTGGGGACAGCGACCGCCTCCGGCCCCCCAGCTTGGCCCTACACTGCTGGTGACAGCTTGCCGTGGGAGCCGTCGTCTGGGTCCTCGGGCAGGACCAGGTGCTGGGCACCGCACAGGCCCCAACACCTTCTGGTTAGTGAGCACCTCTTCTGGGCCTTAGCGGACCCTGCCATGAACAACATGTTTTGAAATTGTAGATGTGACACCCTTCAAAACCAAATTTGCACTTCCGTTCCATTTTCCTGCCACTTTTATCCCCATCACGTCCTCCCCTAAGATTGATTTTTAATATTATTTTGATAATCTTTACATAGTTGATTAAGGCACAAAGGGTCAAGGCCAAGATTGATTTTTTTAAAGATTTATTTATTTTTATTGCAAAGTCAGATATACAGAAAGAAGAGACAGAGGAAGATCTTCTGTCCAATGATTCACTCCACAAGTGACCACAACAGCTGAAGCTGTGCCGATCCAAAGCCAGGAACCAGGAGCCTCTTCCAGGTCTCCCACACTGGTGCCACACATGGGTGCGTGTGGGGACCTAGGCCACAAGCAGGGAGCTTGTGGGAAGTGGGGCTGCTGGGATTAGAACCAGTGCCCATACGGGATCCTGGAGCCTGCAAGGTGAGGACTTTAGCCACTAGGCTACTGCGCCAGGCCCCAAGATTTTTTTATTTGAAAGGTAGTTAGATATTTTCCATCTGCTAGTTCACTCTCCTAATAGATGCAGTGATTGGAGCTAGGCCTGTCCAAGGCCAGGAGCCAGGAGCTTTAGCCTAGTCTACCACGAGGGTGCAGGGTCATCCTCCACTTCCTCAGGCTGTAAGCAGGGAGCCGGATGGGAAGCAGAGCAGCCAGGACACAGAAGGGAACCGATATCGGACCTGGCACTGCAGACAGCGGGTTAGCCCACTATGCCTCAGCACCAGCCCCTTTGCCACCACTTTTCTGAAGTTCTAGATCCTGTATGGAAGTGGGTGCTGGGATTTTTCTCCTAAGAGGTGACGCTCAGCTGAGTAAAACAGAGGCAAGCAAGAGGCCACATGGGGAAGGGGTGTGGAGGACTACAGCAGCTGGCCAGTGGCTCAGGTGGGGCTTGTGGAACACAGCTGGAAGCCAGACGCACACCTGCAGGAGGGCTGAGCAGGGCGAGGGTACGAGGAGCCGGTGCTCCTGCATTTGCTCAAGGGGGAACATGAGGGTGGAGAGGGCCCAGGAAGGAGAGCAAGGGGGCAGATTCTAGAACATTCTGATGGTCAAGCTGCCAGGTATACTGCTTAACTGGATGTGCCCAGAGCTGAGGCCTGAGCACCTGGGCAAGGTGTGAAAACAGGATCGCCGAGGAAGTGCGACTGGAGGTCCCCTGGACTCTCAGGAGCTTGTGATGCTACTGGGGCCCGCCTGGAGCTGGGGAAGGGGCGGCTGGGCATGGTGCTGGGGCTGCGGGTGGGGCTGGGTCAGGAAATGGATGCAAGAACAGCACTGTGCCCTGGCCGTGCTCAGCGGGGCTCTTTTAGTTCCTCTGGTGGCCGCAGGCCACCTCACATGCTCTGGGTGTGGAACCTTCTGGTTCTTGCAGTGACCCAGCACCTCCTGGGCAGCCGGGCATTATTTTATTCAAAATTTATTGATTTGAAAGAGCCACAGAAAGGCAGAGATCTTCCATCCAAGATGGCCGTACCGGCCAGGCCAGACTGGATCCAGACGCCAGGAGCGCCATCTGCGTCTCCAGCAAGGTTGGCAGGAATCAAGCGTTCAGGCCTTCCTCCGCTGCCTTCCCAGGGATAAGCACGGAGCTGGACTAGAAGTGAAGCAGCCGGGACTCCAACAGGTGCCTGTACGGGATGCTGGCTTCACAGGCGGTGGCCTGGCTTGCAGTGCCATGGTGCCGACCCCATTAAGGCCCCCGAGTTGCCCATTTGTTGGGGGACGTTCTGCTCAGTGCTGCGGTGGAGACCCGGCCCTCCGCTTCTCCTGTTCGAGGCTGCACACCAGGGACAGCGGTCAGTGGTCAGTGACTGTGCCTGGGGAAGGCAGGGAAGTAGGAGGGGCAGGCCCTGGAGTCCTGCCCCCTCACGAGCCCTGGCGGTATTGAAGCAGGCTCAGGACAGCAGCCCCTGGCGTCAGTGTCCAGCTCTCCTGGCCAGAAGGGGCCTCAGCTCCGTGCAGGCTGGCTGGGGAGCCGCGGCTTCTGCGGCTGGTTGGGGCCGATGTACTGGAGCGGTGCGTGGGTGGGTGCCGTGATGCAGTCAACGCCGAGGTAGGGCTGCAGGGCAGGGGGCACGCGGACCGAGCCGTCCTGCGGGGAAAGCAGCTCTCAGGACGCTGTCACCGCCCAGGCCCTGCCAGCACTAACCCACCAGGGGCTCACCCTGTGCCCCTCACCTTCTGTTGGTTGCTTTCCAGGAGGGCGATGAGCAGGCGAGGGACAGCGCAGGCCGTGGCATTCACCTGGGGGCACAGGTGTGCTCAGGAACTCCCTGCAGGCTTTCCCCTCTCCGCAGGAGGGTCTGGGGGAGGGGAGGCCACAGGGTGGGGTCCTTACCGTGTGCGCGAACTGCAGCTCCCCAGCCTCAGGCTGCAGCATGATGTGCAGGCGGCGGCTCTGGAAGTCGGTGCAGTTGGAGGCGCTGGTCACCTGCAATGCAGCGGCTGTGGCAGCTGAGAGGCCCAGCTGCGGGGGGGCGGGGCAATCCCCCCATCCCACATCCCACCCGGGGACCAGGGCTCACCTCCCCGTAGCGGCCCCGGCCTGGCATCCAGGCCTCGATGTCAAACTTGCGGTAGGCGGGGAGACCCAGCTCCTGGGTGGGCATGTCCAGGACCCTGCAGCCGGCAGTGGCAGTGGCAGCGGCGGTGGTGCGGGTCAGTGGGCAGCAGGTGTGTGCGGGGGAGGGGGAAAGAGTGGGAGGAAGAGATAGAAGTGATTGAGGAAGGGGACTAAGATACAGGGTGTCCCAGCAAACCAAAGGACTGACAGGGGTGAGAGGGGTGCCTGCGGTGCCAGGGTCCCTTTCCCACCCCTCCCCCACCGGACCAGAAGAGGCATCTCGGGCAGCAGCGTAGGGCAGAGGCCACCCCTGCCCGCTCCCCACCGGAAGTGCAGGCCCAGCTCTGTCAAGATCTCCATCTGAAGAGACAGGAACTCCTCCAGCAGCTGTGAGCTCTGCTCCAGGCTGGGGCCGGTCACCCCAAACATCTCCACCTGGACAGGCAGGCAGAGAAATGGGGGTCAGGAGGTCTTGGGCTGCGGGGTATAAAGCCGACCCCACCTCCAGGCTGGTGCCACGCACCTTGGTGAAGTGATGCACCCGGTACAGGCCCCAGGGCTCCTTCCCCGTGTCCGTCTCGGGCCGGTAGCACGTGCTGGAACAAACCATCCTGGAGGGGTAGGGTGGCCACAGCAGGTCAGGGCAGGCGCCGAGTGCCACAGGGTGGGGTGCGCAGGACTAGGGAACTGCACAGCACCTGACAGGCAGGTCCCTGAAGGCCACCGCATGGTCCATGAAGTAGCCTAGGGTCAGAGGGGGCAGGAGGGGGTCAGCCAGGCTGCCACTGTCACTGTCATGAGGAAACCCCAGAAGGTGCTCCCTGTATGACTGGAGTGTCACGCCACTGTTGGTTGCACAGTCCACAACCTATACAACTGTCCACGTAGGCACGAGGGTTGCCCTGATGTCCTGGCTGAACTCCCTCGGCTGCCCCAATCCCCGCTCCTGCTCCTCGCGCCCACCTTGCCACCTTAGCCCAGGCAGGTGCTCACCTGCGAGGCCCACCTCCGCTGTCCCAGCCAGGTTGAGGTCTTCAAAGCGGGAGGGGTCGATGTTATAGATTTGGGAGGGGCTGGCGTTTGGTGTCATCCCACAGCCTTCCTGGGGGAAGAGGCCAGACTGCAGGAGGTCCGTGGCTGGGGTGGCACAACCCCAGGTCATCCCCTCCCCCAACCCAAGCCCAGGGTGGTCTTCTGGGGGAGGCCCTGGGCCCCCAGCATACGGAGGAGGGAGAGGACATGGGTGGAGTGGGGGGGCTCACTCACAAACACAGCTCCTCGCAGGAGGTCCGGCACAGCCATGGGGATGAAGCCCTGTGTATATAAGGGGGTGGGGGTAGTGAGGGGCACGGCTAGTCCCTCTGGGCCCCATGCTCTGGCAGAGAGCCGATGGCAAGCCCTAATCGCTCCAAAGTCCATTCCACTGAGAACAGCATGGGGGGAGACCCAGGCCACCCCTTCCTGCTGCCCTGAGCCCTCGGAGCCCAGCGTTGAGACGCCACCCCCTCCAGGAAGTCCTCCCAACCTGGCCCGTACCCGGCGGACAAGCTTGCTGAGTGTGAGGCTGACCAGGCCGTGCTGCAGGAGAGCCCCAGCCCCGCGCAGGTAGTAGGACCGGTGGCCAGACACGTGCGACAGGCGCCTGGAGACACAAGATAGAGCGGCGGGTGTGCAGGGGCCCAGGGCTCTGGGATGAGGAGGGGGACCTGGCAGCTGGGAGGCAGAGGCCCAGTTGCCAGCTGGGGCCTGGGCATCAAACATTCATGCTGGGTGCGGCCCTGGCCTCGCCCCCTCCCACGCTGAGGCCGCCAGGGATGGGCGGAGCCGGCGGCTGGTCGCCAGCTGCCAGGGTGCAGAGGGTCGGGCACTGGGGCGGGGGCGGGGGTGGGGGGCTGCTCACTTTTGACGGATGATGCCGAGCTTCTCGCCCAGCTCCAGGTGGCCCCGTGGAGGGAAGGAGAAGGCTGCGTGGGGGGAAGGGGAACGGTCAGAGGGGACATGGAGTGGGGCGGGCGGTGCAGTCACACAGTCACGGGGATCGTGAGAGAGGACAAGGTGGAGGGGAGCGGGTCGGGGCAGAGGGAGAGGAAGGAGAGCAAGAGGGGGGCAGGGAAGGGGAGACGCACTGAACCCAGGAGAGAGCGAGGGAGGGGCGGGGGGCGGGAGACACGCGCGTGTGCGGGCACAACCACACCGTGCACGTGCACACACACCACACACGTGTAGACAGTCATGACAAACCCCACGCGCACACACACATTCTGTGCTTGCAGACACAGTCATCTGCAGCACGCAGGGCGAGGACGCCCACGTGGGTGGGGCAGGGCACCAGCTCCAAGGAGCGCCCCTCACAGGCAGCTCGTGCCCAGCCGAGGCAGCAAGGGGGAGCAGCCTCCCGAACCTTGGGAGCCCGAACCCCTAGCCCCGGGGTTGCAGCCTACCTGGCTTGTCACCGACCACGTGGAGCACGCGCGCCTGGCTCTCGTCCCCAATGGGCTACAGGGAGGTACGGTGTGATAAGAAAAGGTGGCACCTGGGGGGGGGGGCAGTCCCTCAGTCCTGCCCCCACAGGGTGCTCACTGTGTCTGGGTGGGTCTGGTTAGGCAGCCGCAGCGCGTGCAGGTAGAACTGCTCCTCAAGTTGGGTCTCCCTGGGGTACAGCAGAACCAGCTGCTTCCGGATCTCCCGGCCGCGCGCCCGCAGGGCCTGATACTGGGGCTCCTGGGGACAGGCCATGAGGGGTCCACCTGAGACAGAGGGCCAGGGATCCCCCCCTGCCACCCGGTTACCAATCTGCCCTCAGTCCTCATGGCCAGAGGCGCCTCTCCTGGCCGGCTGGAGTGTGGCCCTGGCTGGAGCTGTGAGGACAATGGGCTCCCTACACCCCCACACAAGGTGGAAAAGCTGGCGTGGGTGAGAGAGAGCAAAGTAGAACCCAGCACAGAGCTGGGTCCTGGATGCAGCAGCACCTGAAGCAGCACTGTGAGTGTCGACAGGGCTTTGTTCTCTTCTGTCACATACAGAGGAGGGTCTGGGGCTGATGCGGGACCCTCAGGCCCACTCCCCACCGCGACCCGGCTATCCACTCCCAGGAGTACCTGCTGCACTTGCTGGCTGTCCCGGTTTACCTGGTAGAAAAGGAATTATGTGAGTGTTGGGGGGTGGTGTTAGGTGGATGGAAGCTGAGCTGGGCAGGAGGGCTGAAAGGCCACACAGGCCAGGGGATCTGTCGGCGCCTGGCCAGGTCCCTCTGCCCGTCAGCTCGTGGAGGTGGGCTGATTTCAGCATAACTCACTATGGGGGTGGTATTAGGGTCATACCCTCCCCTTGAGAAAACTCAGGGATGTGTGTGGTTCCTTCTGTGAACGGCCTGGGGTCCCATGGAAGAGTTTAGTGCCTCCCCACTGTGTGCCCTTGGGGAGTCCTGGTCTGGGAACGGGGGATGAAGATGAGGCTTGTCGTCTCCCATCCTCCATGTGCCAGCACTTGTGGTCCAGGGAAGGAACTGGGGGCTGAGACACCACTAAGGCATCACCAGGGGAGGGGACCATCATTCACATCGCTGAGCTTCTCCCCTGTACCTGCTGGGCTCCCCCACTCACCAGCAGCGCCCGTACTGCCTCCGCCACGGCCCCCTTCTCTTCCTCCAGGCCCCGGATCTGCTCCCGCAACTGCCTCAACTCCTGCCATGAGGCAATCTGGAGGGTGCAGGGGTGCAGGGACAGGAAGGCATGAGTGTGAGTGGCCGCCTTTGCTGCCATCTCCCCTCCTCTCCCCTCCCCACTCCCTCTGACACCTGCGGTGGGGTCCTGTCTGTCGCCCCCCCAGGAGCCATCCTTCTCCCTTCCCTGATGCCCAGCTGGGCACACGGCGGCCCGGGTTAACACGTTTTCCAGATTCCCTCGCAGCTACCTGCGCTCACATGACCAAGACCAACCAACATACACAAGTAGAAGGGGTTAAAGAGGGAGTCTTTTTTTTTTTTTTCTTTTTTAGCAATGAGAATGGCTTTGTAAAAAATTTACTTATTTATTTCAAAGTCAGAGTTACAGAAAGAAAGATCTTCCACCCACTGATCCAACTCTGCAAATGGCCACAACGGCTGGAGCTGAGCTGATCCAGAGCCAGGAGCCAGGAGCCAGGAGCTTCTTCTGAGTCTCCCACGCGGGTGCAGGATCCTAAGGCCCTGGCCCGTCCTCCATGGCTTTCCCAGGCCACAAGCAGCGAGCTGGGAGGGAAGTGGAGCAGCTGGGACACGAACTGGTGCCCACATGGATGCTGATGTTGCGGTGTTTCCATCTGAATGGGTGTGTCTTAGCCTGATTTCTGTTGCTGTAACAAAACTCCACACACCAGGCAAATCATACAGGATGGAAGCTTCCTAGGCGCAGGGTGCAGGAGCCTGTAGATCCAAGGTAAGGAGGCCGCAGCACAGGATGGTAGGCGAGCATGTGCAGGAGAGACAAGCCACAGCCCAGCCTCGTGTCACAGCCTACCACTGCACTCCCTCAACAAAGGCATGCCAGGGGGCCAAGCAAAGCTGCCCCCACGATGCTACCACCCCATTTGGGCACTGGTTCAAGTCTTGGCTGCTCCACTTCCAATCCAGCTCTGTGCTTATGACCTGGGAAAAACAGTGGAGGATGGCCCAAAGGGCTTGGGCTTCCCTTACCCATGTAGGATACCTGGAGGAAGTTCGTGGCTCCTGACTTTGGCCTGACCCAGTGCTGGCCATGGTGGCCATGAGGGATGAACCAGAGGGTGGCTGTCTTTCTCCGTCTCACCACATTTCAAATACAAGTAAATATATATATATATATATGTTCTGGAGCCAAATACCACAGGTACAGACTCCCTGAGTATTCTCCCCAATAACACAGAAGCAACAGCAGTATCTGCTTCAGAGAGGTGGTGCAAAAATCAAATGGGGATAAAGTGTGTTAGGCCTGTGGGTGGCTCAGGCCAAGGCTGAGGAGACTTGGGGATCCCCACACACTCAGCACCCCAACAGAAGGAGACCTCTACAGCCTCCAGGCATCGAGTATTTCCTAAATAGGAGAGTTCTAGTTATCACTCACCGCCCATCTGCAGCCGCTGAGTCAACAACCACCAGCAGGTGCAACAGAACCATTGGTTCCTTTTAGTGGCTTGCCACCTGCAGTCGTGTGGATGCAACATCCCACCTGGTACTCCCCTCCAAAAGCGCCCCAGGCCCCTGGCTGTCTCCCTCTGTGTCTCTGTGGCCTTAGGGTAAGGCGGGCGTGAGATGAGGGCCAGAGGGAACGGCTGGCAGCACACACCTCTAAGAGGCAGTGTCCAGGGCACACGGTGGACTGGGTCTTAGCAGGACTGAGCGGACCACTGGCTAATCTCAGTGTGTGCCACGCACAAGATCATGACTCAACTCGGCAAGGGAAGTAAGCTGCCTGCCTAAGCCCACTCCCCAGCTCCAGCTGCTCTTGCACCCTCAGCTGCCGCGTCGGGCGGGCAGCCAGTGTCCAGTCCACCGTGCGAGGGCCCGCGCAAGCGCACTCACGATCCCCGGCAGGTCCGCCGGCCGCAGCGCCCCCTTGCGGAGTTCCAGGGCGCGCGCCACCTCTTCTGGGCATGCGCACACCGATTCCATGTCCAGCTGTGGGAATGCGCTATAGCCCTCGCGTGCGTGTTCATACAGGAGGTTCCGGTCCCGTCTCTCGGAAGCGAAAGTTCTCCGAGGGCTCTGGCTGCCCGTGCAGCCTGCCCGGAGCCGGAGTCCGCCAGGAGACAGCAGGCACCCTAACCGCCGCGCGATGGACGCAGCCATCTTGGGCCGGGGACCAGGAAGGCACGCCGCCTTCATCCCGCCCAGTCAGCGTTTGAACCAATCGCGAAACAGCCGGCCCCCTCTCGACAAGCCAATCAGAGAGGTTGCCCTTTCAGCCTCGACGTAGTTCGCTGAACGTTGCCTGAGATTGACTTCGTCATTGCCCAATCGCCATCTGTGTCCCGCCCCCTCAGGGACGCGCGAAGGCAGGGTCTGCCAATGGCTGCTGAATGACCCCGGAAGGGGCGAGAGGCTGAAGTAAGCGTGTCTACTGGCCCTCCTGGGGTCGGTGAGGCCGGTGAAGGCTTCGGTTTCCCTCCTGGGTATGGGAGGTGGTTGTGGTCTCCTAGATTTCACCGTGTAAGGCTCTGAGGACGGGGTGGGGGCGAGTCTGGGATTCCAGAACGTCGGCGGCCACTTTGTCCCTCTCCCCTAACCCAAGGACGCGACGTGCGGCGGCGGGATGTCCTGGTCCGGCCTTCTCCGTGGCCTCGGCGCGTCCGTACGTGGTGGTAAGCCAGGGTGCTGGGCCGCAGGGTGTGCTGGGCCGAGGATTGTTCTCCCTTTGGTTCGCCACTCAGAATGACAGGGGTGGGCCAGACGCGCGATGCCACCCGGCGCACAGCGTACTGAGCAGCGGGATGGGATGGTGGCACCTGTGCTGCGGGTGAGCGAACCGAGGCACGGGGAGCCCAGGAGACTTGTTCAAGGGCAGCCGCTAGCTGGAGACTGAGCGTGGGGGCAGGTGCTGGCGCCTCAGATGGGCCCCCCCCCCCGAGTCCTTAATAGGAAAACTTGGTTTCCTATTAATGAATAAGTCTTGTTTAAATAAAGCATTAATATCTTTTTGGAAGACTGAAATAAATTCATGTATGATGTTTATTTTTTAAAGGTTTATATATTTATTTTGATTGGAAAGTCAGATATACAGAGAGGAGGAGATACAGAGAAGATCCGTCTGATGATTCACTCCCCAAGTGGCCGCAGCAACCAGAGCTGAGCCAATCTGAAGCCAGGAGCCAGGAGCTCTTCCAGGTCTCCCACATGAGTGCAGAGTCCCAAGACTTTGGGCCATCCTCAGCTGCTTTCTCAGGCCGCAAGCAGGGAGCTGGATGGGAAGTGGGGCTGCTGGGATACAAACCAGCGCCCATGTGGGATTGCGGCACGTACAAGGCAAGGTCTTTAGCCACTAGGCTACCATGTCAGGCCCCATGTACAATGTTTAAAACAAGATCTGCCATGTGGAGGAGGCACAGTGAAGGTTTAAGTGTTGCTGCTGTCACCTGGAAACATCCTAGACGTCACCCCCAACATGTCCTTGGGAAGGTGTCACCAGGGTTGCTAACCTCTGTCCTGCCTGTCGTTTTGTCTCTCCCCAGGCCTGACTGTGATCCCCCAACTCTGGGCCGGCCGCAGCATGGCTACCTTGAACCAGATGCATCGCCTCGGGCCCCCCAAGAAGGCCCCCCGGCGCCTGGGCCCCACCGAGGGCCGGCCGCAGCTCAAAGGCGTGGTCCTGCGCACCTTCATCCGCAAACCCAAGAAGCCCAACTCGGCCAACCGCAAGTGCTGCCGCGTGCGACTGAGCACCGGCCAGGAGGCCGTCTGCTTCATTCCCGGCGAAGGCCACAGCCTGCAGGAGCACCATGTGGTCCTGGTGCAGGGCGGCCGCACCCAGGACCTGCCCGGGGTCAAGCTCAAAGTTGTGCGTGGCAAATACGACTGCGGCCATGTGCAGAAGAAGAAGTGACCGTGGCAGGTCCCATGACTTTTATGCCACAAAACAGGATTCCTGCTGCCCAGGAAGGCAGGGTGGAGTGGAAGAGCCTGCTTTTTTTTTTATCAGCAGTATCACTACCCATTTGGGTGGGCGAGTTGGAGAATGGGCCCCCTCTGTCAGCAGCCTTGTCCCCAGGGTGGACTTGGGGCCTCTACCCCGCTGTGTGCTAGGAAGCAGCATAATAAACAGCTCACGTCCCCAGCTCCCACGTGCCGGGGCGGCTGATAGCTCTGGGCTTGGGTTTGCAGTCTGCCTTGTTCATGTTGGTAAACATTAAATTTGTTGCTCTGCAGACCAGCAGGGCCTCTCTGTCCTGAGCTCTAAGACCCATCTTCCCTCTCCAGAGGCCCAGAGGAGGCAGCCAGGACAGGAGCTGGCACGCCCTGCTGGGCCACAAGTCCTGCTCCCACCTGCTGGCTGCACCCCCGGGTTGCCAGGGGACCTGATTCTGATAGTAATACTGACATCCTGTGAGCATGTACTTGGCCACAGTAGGTTTTTTTTTTGAGATTTATTTATTTGAAAGGTAGAGTTCCAGAGAGAGAAGGAAAGAAAGAAAGCTTCCATCTACTGGTTTTACTCCTCAAACAGCCACAGCCATGAGCTTCATCTTGGTCTCCCAGATGAGGTGCAGGAGCCCAAGCACTCGGGCCATTTCCCACCGCCTTCCCAGGCACATCAGCAGGGAGCTGATGCAATTCCATATTGCAGGCAGTGTTTTAACACACTGCACCACAATGCTGAGATCAGCCCCAGGAGCCTCTGGGCACCTCCCAGCTGTTCCTGGACTCTGGAAGCTTCCCTGGGAGCACCACGGTACAGCAGGTGGCCGGGCTTCTCAGGGCGGGAGGCGGAGGTAGACACGTGCACATGGTCACAGCAGAACTCGGGTCTCCTCGGGCTTAGCACCATGTCACAGCTGGTCTGCTGCCTGTGCCCATCTGGGGAGTGGAGGGGGAGAAAGAGCCCGCTCCCGTTGGCACTCCTTACCCTGGGGTCTGTGTACAGCGGATCTTCAGTGCAGAGACCAGAGCGGCAACAGGCAAGAGCTGACGGGGCCTGGGGCACGTGGCCAGAATCCTAGGGCCTCCCCGAAGTGACAAAAAGGCTTCCGCCTTTTGAAGTCCCTGGTCAAAGGCAGATTTAGCCTCAACTGAGCCCCACTCCCACCACCATAAATTCTTAGCTGACTTAGGCAGGCAGGTGAACTGAGTCACTTTTTGATGCTTACCCACTTCCACGCACATACACCCAGGGAGCTAAGGAGTGTGTAAACGCCTTGGTGGGAGCCCTCATCACTTAACACAAGGGCCACCATCCACAGCAGCAACAGTGGGGTCCCTGGGAGGTGTGCTCAGAGCAAGTCACCGGGGAACCCCCCGTCCCCAAGGGCATCCGGTGGGCAGTGGCAAGGCACCCCCTTCCTCCTTGAGTGGGTGGCACCAGACATGTGACAGTGGCTTCCAGAAGGCCGGATCCAGTGGGCTGGCTAGGACAGGCAGCGGATCCTCACTTTCACACTGGAGTGGGTGACCAGAGCACCATAGTGTCCCACCCAGGAACGCGTGTCCCTGCCATACTGCTCAAATGACACGTAGCGGATGCCCTTGCCGAAGTTGGTGAAGATGTGGGAGACCTGGTGGGGAGGAGGAAGAGAGTGACGGGGGTGCAGCCTGTGGCTCCCCAAGGACTGTGGGGGCTGGCGGAAGCTGGTGACAGGTGGGGGTGGGAATTTGCAGTGTGCGGCGTTCTGCCAGGAGTGAAGCTAGCAAGCGAGCGCCCACAGAGGTGGCACTGAACATGGGTCCCAGGGAGGCAAGGAGCCGAGGGGGGCAGCCTGGAGGATCAGCCGCAGATGGGGCAGCCAGGGTAAGAGGCTCCAAGGTGGGAGCAGAACGAGTCAGGGGCCCATCTTGGTCACAAGTGGAGTACTGCATATTCTTCCTTCTTTGTGTGATTTTTTGTATTAGAAAATTCACATTAAGATAAAATGCACCATTGTGAAAGGGCACAATCTCATGTTAACAGATTCATGGTTTTCTGCAACCATCACTAGCAGCTAACTTGGGAACACCTGTATCCATTAGCCTCACATCCAGCCTGCCGCCCCCAGCGGCCACTCACCTATTTAGGTCTCTATTGCATGTTTTCTTTTAAGAGGGTCTGTCCATGTCGGGCCTCGCCCACTGGGCCCCTGGTGTTCACTGCCACTGAAGGCTGAATACTGGGGTTCAGCCCCCTCCCTTAGCAGGAGCCAGGGGAGGCGGCATCCACTGTGGCTCACTTTTCTGGGTTCTTTTCTGTGTTTTAGGAGGGCAGGTGTGGAAGCAGGACTGTGCGAGCTTGGACACCAGCTGGGGCTCAGACAGTCCTTGAGCACTGTTGGGGCTGGTCACTTGGCCTCCCTATGCCTCAGTTTCCCCAACTCCAGGGTAGAGACCAGGTAAGAACTTTGGGTAGCACACAGCAACTGCTCAACGAGTGTGGCCCGCTGGCGAGACTGCTGTGCTAATGGGAATGAATGGATATGCAAGGCTTCAGAATCCCACTTGCTGTTCTCACAGACCCTGTAGGGGGTCAGGGGGCAAGCAGGCAGGTGGGAGGCTGGGCTGCTGCTTGCCTTGGAGCCAACCAGGTAGGCTGCAGGGATGGTCTACACCCACCTGTCGGCAGCCCCTCTCTGTCCACTGCATGACTGGGTTGGGCGAAGCTGAGAACTTGACCACTTCATTTTCGTGCATGTCCAGAAGGCGGACCCGGAGCCGGTAGACGCAGCCGCAGTTCTCTCGGGCTCCCCACCTGCCACCAGGCGGCAGTGAGCCTGCGCGCCCACCCCGCCCCATACCTCACCAAGGGTCCCACACACCTGTGCCACGTTTGATGGGGTTGGGTGTGGCAGCCTCTAGTGCAGCAGCCTGCATGCTCCTACTGTCCATGGCCCACAGCCAGGGATCACCGCACAACCCATCCCAACTGCATACCTCCCCCTCCCCAAGCCTCAGTCTCCCTTTTTCGGGCTCTCAGCCCTTTGTGGGTTACGGGTATCTCAAACCTTGGGATTGGGTGCAATTGGGGTGAGTGGCCTGAGTGGACAACCCCAGGGGGCCTGCTGGGAAGTGTGGGAGGAGGGCACACCCCTCTTTGCCCTGCAGCAGTAAGGCCTCGCTACAGAGGGTACAGGGGAGCACCAGCACCCCTGCAGTTGAGGGGCAGTGGAAATGCAGTCCTGCTGCCCAGCCACTGTCTGCAGTTGGGGTGAGGACAAGCCGCCCTCTGCACTCACCAGTCAGCCACACAGATCTCGAGCTGGGCGCTGTCCAGCAGCTCCTGCCAGATCCCCTCCATCACCAGGTCCACCAGCTGCCTCTTGAAACACCACCTAGGGGCAGAGGGAGGAAACCAAGTCACAGGCAGAAGTCACCTCCTCAAGGAAGCCCACTAATCCTCACTAACCAACCCCTAGAGTCTGCTTTGCAAACCTGGAGACCTGTGCTGGGCCACATGTCTCTCCAGGGCTCCCCTCCAACAGCCCAGGCAGCTTGGCCGTAACGTGTGTGGGGCCCAGGATGGAGGCCACACTCAGTGCACCTGCAGACTTCTCCAGGGCCTTAGGATCTTGCCGACCCCTCTGTTCCCTGGGGAACAGCTGATCTGAAGCCAGGAGCCAGAAGCCTCCTCTGGGTGTCCCGTGTGGGTGCAGGGTCCCAAGGCTTTGGACTGTCCTCTACTACTTTCCCAGGCCACAAGCAGGGAGCCAGATGGGAAGCGGAGCTGCTGAGATTAGAACCAGCACCCATATGGGATCCAGGGATGTGTAAGGGAAGGACTTTAACTGCTAGGCTACCTTGCTGGGCCTAAGGAGCTGATTAAGATTGGGACTCAGTCCTCCTTCCTCCCAGAGGATCACGTGGGCTGCCGTCTCTTTCAGATAAGGGGCCCAGCCTGCTACCCCCTACTTCTGCATGGGGAGCTGCTTCCTTTGTGCAGCCTCTGCAGGCCCAGGGGAGGGGGTTGTGTCCCTTAGCAGTGCCTGTCAAGGGGTTGCCAGGTCCCTGTGGTCCACCTATAGCTTTGTTCATGGTCCCCTCACCCCTAATTTGAGCGTGTCAGGGCAACAGAGGCAGGCCAGTATTGGTGGAGGGACACCTAAGTGGCCTAGGGGAAGTGCAGAGACAGGTCAGGGAATGCATGGGGACTTTGCAGATGATGGGGGCAGTCGCAAGCTCCATGAGGCTTCAGTAAGTGGTGTTGGGAAAACTGGCTCAATAAAGGGGGAGAAGGGAATGGATGCTTCTAGAATATCACACTCAACGGTCAATACTCAAGCCTGAAAGGCCAAACGCTCTGGGGTCTTGTTTTCTACTGTTAGGTGCATACAATAAGAGTATATATGTGGACCCGGCATAGTAGTCTATTGGCTAAGTCCTAGTCTTGCATGCGCCAGGATCCCACATGGGTACCATCCAGCTTCCCATCCAGCTCCCTGCTTGTGGCCTGAGAAAGCAATCAAGGACAGCCCAAAGTGTTGAGACCCTGCACCTGCGTGGGAGAACTGGAGGAGGCTCCAGGCTCCTGACTTCAGATTGGCACAGCTCCAGCTGTTGCAGCTGCTTAGGGAGTGAATCATCGGACGGAAGATCTTCCTCTCTGTCTTTCCTTCTCTGTATATCTGACTTTCCAACAAAAATAAATCTTAAAAAAAAAAAAAAAGAGGAGTGTATATGTGACTAGGCTGTTGGCATCACTAAGTTGTGTCCAAGGGCCTGGCATGATAACCTAGTGGCTAAAGTCCTCGCCTTGCATATGCTGGGATCTCATGTGGGCACCGGTTCATGTCCCAGCTGTCCCAGTTCCCATCCAGCTCCCTGCTTGTGGCCTGAGAAAGCAGTTGAGGACGGCCCAAAGCCTTGGGACCCTGCACTTGTATGGGATGCCCAGAAGAAGTTCCTGACTCCTGGCTTCAGATCAGCTCAGCTCCAACCATTGTGGTCACTTGGGGAGTGAGCCAGCAGACACATCTTTTTGTCTCTCTCTGTAAAGCTGACTTTTCAATTAAAAATAAATAAATCTTTTAAAAAAGTGTGCAAAGCATCCTGCATAAAGGAACACCTCTAAAATATGCAATATATTGGGGCCAGCACTGTGGTATAATGGGCTACCTCCAACCTGTGGCTCCTGCATCCCACGTGGGTGCCAGTTTGTGTCCTGATTGTTCCACTTCTAATTCAGCTCCCAGCTAATGAATTGAGAAAGCAGTGCAAGATGGCTCAAGACCTTGGGACCTGCACCTATATGGGCGACTCTGAGGAGACTCCTCGTTTAAGCCCTATCAAGCTCTTGCTGTGGTGGCCATTTGGGAAGTGAATCAGCAGATGGAAGATCTTCTCTGCGTTTTTCTCTTTCTGTAATTCTTTTTTTTTTTTTAAGATTTTATTTATTTTTATTACAAAGTCAGATATACAGAGAGGCGAGATAGAGAGGAAGATCTTCCATCCGATGATTCATTTCCCAAGTGACTGCAACAGCCGGTGCTGTGTCGATCTGGAGCCAGGAGTCAGGAACTTCTTCCAGGTCTCCCACACGGGTGGAAGATCCCAAAGCATTGGGCCGTCCTTGACGGCTTTCCCAGGCCACAAACAGGGAGCTGGATGGGAAGTGGAGCTGCTGGGACCAGAACCAGCGTCCATATGGGATCCTGGCACGTTCAAGGTGAGGACTTTAGTCACTAGGCCACCGTGCTGGGCCCTCTTTCTGTAATTCTTTCAAGTAAAATAAATCTTTACTAAAGTTCAAAACAAAAAGAAAAAACCACCAAGCTGCTAATATTTCTGATTGTGCCCCAGGCCTATAAATCAGTATCTGGTACCCAGCAGACAGTCTGACAAAACGATGAAAATGTGAATGGGGACCATGGGATGGGATCCCTCTCCTTCTTCCTGGCCTTTCCCCAAGAATCAGGGGCCACTCACTCGAAGGAAGTAACGAAGCAGGTCTGGGAAGGAGCGCCTGGTATCAGTGTGACATTCTTCTCCACGGACCAGCCATTGCCTCCGTGCTCTACCTCCCAGCCTCTGAAGCCCACTGTGCAAACACATGGGGTAATGGGGTTGCAGTTAGCACGGGCCCGCCAGCTCGCCCAGCCCCATACTCGCCTGCACTGCACTCGCTCCTCCCACCAGCTCCTCCCCACCACGCCCCTAATCTCCCTGCATAGGCCAGCCCCGCCCAGGCTCCGCCCCGCCTCCTTCACCATGACCACGCCCATTCTGCCTACAGGCCAGTCCCAGCCTGCCTCTTCTCCGGACCCGCCCCCACACTCTGGCCACGCCCATCCGGTCCTCGCGGCCCGCCCCTCCCTTGGCCCCGCCCACCGCACGCACGCTCTCCGCACGAGTTGAAGATGAGGTTGCGGCCGAGGGGCGCGCGCAGGCAGTAGCGCGCCAGGGCGCAGAGCGGCAGCTCGTCCTCGTCCTGGCCGCCGGGCGGGCAGCGCTGGGCCAGGGCGTAGAGCGCGCGGCCCTGGGCGCTGCGGTCGCGGGCCAGCTGCAGCAGCCACACGGAGGACCCGTCCACCACGTCGCGCCAGGCGCGGCACACGGGCCGGCAGCGCGTCACCAGCGCCAGCGGCGGCACGTGGCTCAGCACCTGCACCAGCAGCTCGGGGGGCAGCGCGTCCAGGGCCAGGGGCGGCTCCGCGGGCACCTGCTGCCGCGAGGGCCGGGCGCCCATCTCCCGCGTCCTGCAGGACAAGAGGGTCGGGCGGGTCAGCTCTGCCTGGTCTCCTCCCGCCTTGCCTCCCACACATCCCCCAAGTCCCACATCCAGCTGCCTCCTGGGCTGCTGCCCATCGTGCTGGCTGACCACGTGACCAGGTAGGCGACCTTCTGGCTTCGCTATTCCTAATCCTTGTCCAGCCACCATGTTGTCCATATCTAGACCCGTGGCAGTCCAAGCTCACACCTTCACTTTCCAGCCCTCCTCTTGCCCAGGGGCCCTGCAGGAACCTCTCCCCACCAGCCCCTCCTCCTCTTCTCTGCCCTTCCTCCAGTGTGTCCTCCAGTTTGGACTCCCAGGCTGATGTTAAGCGCATTCTTTGCATGCCATCATCCCTTCAGCTGCCTCGCGAGCACTACCCTGATTAAATGCAACCTTGTGTGTCTGCAGGCACACAGTTCAAGGGGGCAGGAAAATCACACAGCCCCACCTGCTGCCTTTCAAAGAACAAACTAGTAAGAATTCATTGTGATTTAGAAGTGAGTCTGCCAGTCTGCCTGGTGCAGCTGTGCCTCCCCAGTGTGCGGGCACCCCTGTCTGCTCTCCTGTCTGGTCACTGGTGAATAAGGCGTGGCTGGGGCTGGCCAGAGGACTTGGGTCACCCTCTGCTGCTTTGCCAGGCAGGGAGCTTGATTAGAAGTGGAACATCCGGGACACAAACCAGTGCCCGTATGGAATGAGAGCAGGCGGCAGCTCTGCCTGATGCACCCAAACACTGACCCACCATACACTTGTCCCATGAGCTTTCTGTAGTGGTTCCAGAACACCAATAAAGAGTGCCTGTGTAGGGGGCCCAGTACAATAGCATAGCAGCCGAAGTCTTTGCCTTGCACACACCAGGATCCTATATGGGTGCTGGTTCTAATCTTGGTGGCCTTGCTTCCCATCCAGCTCCCTGCTTGTGGCCTGGGAAAGCAGCTGAGGATGGCCCAAGGCCTTAGGACCCTGCAACCATGTGGGAGACCTGGAAGAGCTCCTGGCTCCTGGCCTCAGATTGGCTCAGCTCTGGCCACTGCGGCCACTTGGGGAGTGACTCATTGGATCAAAGATCTTCCTCTCTGTCTCTCTTCCTCTCTATATATCTGACTTTCTCATTAAAAAAAGAAGAGGAAGAAATTACTTTCTTAAAAAATAAGAGTGCTTGGGCCCGGCGCGGTGGCGCAAGTGGTTAAAGGTCCTCGCCTTGCACGCCCGGGATCCCATATGGGCGCTGGTTCTAATCCCGGCAGCCCCGCTTCCCTTCCAGCTCCTGCTTGTGGCCTGAAAGCAGTCGAGGACGCCCAAAGCTTTGGGACTCTGCACCCGCGTGAGACAAGAGGCTCCTGATCGGCATAGTATCGGCCCGTTGCGCTCACTTGGGGAGTGAATCATCGGACGGAAGATCTTCCTCTCTGTCTCTGTATATCCGTCTTTCCAATGAAAAAATAATAAAAATAAATCTTAAAAAAAAAAAAAATAAGAGTGCTTGTGTGGGATGCCCGCCAGAGGACCTGGAGGGAGGTCACAGCCACCAAGCCCGCGTGACTGAATGACAATGGGTTGGGCCACATTACACAAGTCAGGTCCCAGCTGCCTGTGCGCCCAGGAATGCAGGTGTGTGAGGATGCAATGCTGGTTACCATGGTAACTGGGGCATAGTCCTGGTATCCACGTCCTAGGGCTCCCCGGTGCCTGTGACAACCATATTTTTCCAATATGGGTACAGTCACATGCCCTGCGTGACACACATGTTCCTGGCTCTGTCACCCACATGTTGTGGCGTCACAGAGCCAATCCTGTGCTTTTGGAGTCTCGCAGCCTGACACCGCCGAGGGACTAGGGAGGATGGGTCACCCGGGCAGCCTCAGCCGATGCCCCAGGGCCCTTAAGTCCGGTCGGAGGGAAGCTGTGGTCCCACAAACATGTGAGGACTTTAAGATGTCCACAGCATGTGCACTTTGGGCCTGGTGGTTAATACACCAGTTATGCCAGCCTCATCTCTTGGGCAGGCATGGGGACCATGGTGGGTGCGGCTGCCAAGTGGGACACCCCCATTCCATCTCAGAGTGTAGGTTCAAGTCCTACCTGCTCTACTTTGGATCCAGCTTCCCACTCACGCCCACAATGGGAGACAGCGAGTGATGGCACAAGTGCCCAGGCCCGTGCCAGTCGCTGGGGGGGATCTGGGTGGGTTTTGTCACTGCTGGCTTTGGCCTGGCCAGGTATTTGGGGAGCGGATGGACCATCCCTGTCCCTCGCTGTCACCTTGCCATGCGAGTTGCTGACCATCAATGACTAAACGTTGAAACCTAGAAACACTGCCCGCATCTCAGAGTGGCACCTGCATTTGACTCCTTGCTCAGCTCCCGATGCCAGTACCTGCTGGCAGACGCCAGGAGGTGTCTCATAATGGTTCTCCCTGGCGGTGTCCCTGCCAGCCAGTGAAAGACCCGGATGGAGTCTCAGGGCTCCAGCGTTGGTTTTAGCTCTTGGTGATGCGGCCACAGGCATCTGGGAAGGGAAGCAGCAGATGGGAGCTCCTCTTCTCTCCTAGGATAATGTGCACTGCCCGTGACCGTAGACCCGGCGGCCTGATGAGCCGCTGCACCACCCCCGATATGAAAATTTTTACATGTATTTGAGGGAATGGAGGGAAGCTACCAGTGCCCCTGTGTGCTGGCTCACTCCCCAGATGCCCGCAGCAGCCATGACTGTCCTGAAGGTTGCCCAGGAGGGTGGCAGGGACCCTACACAGCCTGTCTCCCCGGCTGTGATGCAGTGAACAGGACGTTGGAACCAGAGTGGAGCCAAGAACCAACCCGGACACGTGGAGATGGAGACAGGGAGCTTCCCCAGCGCTGCCTGGCTGTGCCGCACGTGCGACCTGCTGCTGGCCTTGGGGTTGCCGTGATGTGGTAATGCCATTCAGATGAAAAGTCTGGCAGCTGAAGCTTCCACCTTTTCTTTGTTTGTTTGTTTTTAAAGATTTATTTATTTATTGGACAGGCAGATGTACAGAGAGGAGAGACAGAGAGGAAGATCTTGTATCTGATGGCTCACTCCAGAAGTGACCCAAGTGGCCAGAGCTGAGCTGAGCGGAAGCCAGGAGCCTCTTCTGGATCGCCCGTGGGACTATCCTTGTACTCACTTCTTAGACCTTATCAGGGCCGGCCCTGTGGGGAAGTAGGCTAAGCTGCAGCTAGCAGCATCCCATATGCCGGGCTGTTCCACTTTTTAAAAAAGATTTACTTATTTTTATTGGAAAAGCAGGTATATAGAGAGGAGGAGAGACAGAGAGGAAGATCTTGGTCTGATGGTTCACTCCCCAAATGGCCACAATGGCCAGAGCTGAGCCAATCTGAAGCCAGGAGCCTGGAGCTTCTTGCAGGTCTCCCATGCAGGTTCAGGGTCCCAGCATTTTGGACTGTCCTCAACTGCTTTCCTAGGCTACAAGCAGGGAGCTGGATGGGAAGTGGGGCTGCTGGGATTAGAACCAGCATCCATATGGGATCCCAGCATGCGAGGACTTTAGCTGCTAGGCTACTGCACCGGGACCCCTGTTCCACTTTTGATCCAGCTCCCTGTTAATGGCCTGGGAAAGCAGTAAAGGCCCCTGCACCTTTGTAGGAGACCCGGAAGAAGCTCTTGCTCCTGGCTTCAGATCATCTCAGCTCCAGTTATGGCAGCCACTAGCGGAGTGAACCAGCACATGAAGATCTTTCTGTCTTTCCTCTCTGTATGTGTGACTTTCCATAAAAACAAATAAATCTTTAAGAAAAAAAAAGTCCAGTGTTAAAACCCACACTTGCTCTTTGGATGAAGACTGGACCATCAGGAAGACTCTTCCATGTGGACACACCTTTGTGGGGGCAGAGGGAGTGGGCACTGGTGCTTATCCTTGCCCCTCCCTATGCTGCCAGGACCCACCACACCCTCAGTGAACTCGAACCTCTCAGGGAGAACAAGTCATCCAGCCACAGCCAGAAAGTCTCCAACAACGCCCCATGAAGAACTGCGCACCGCAGTGCAAGGGGGGTGTCCCTGGGTGGGCAGTGCAAGGGGGGTGTCCCTGGGTGGGCAGTGCAAGGGGGGTGTCCCGGGGTGGGCAGTGCAAGGGGGGTGTCCCGGGGTGGGCAGTGCAAGGGGGTTGTGCTGGGGGTGGGATGTGTCGTGGGCATGCACAGGCCTAATTCACACGCAGGCACCTGCACACACATGAGCGCCTGCGCACACAGGCACCTGCTTGATCTGTATTTGCGCTTGATCCCTGTGCTTCCCAAAATGAGTCTGAAAAAACAATCCCAGGTCATTTCTGCCCAATAAGACGCGCACATCCCAGGCGTACAGACGCAGTTTCAGCAGCTCTGTGCGGCTGTGTAGCCGGCACGGTGAGATACACACAGGACAGCTCCCGCCTTCGCTTCGGATTCCCATCCCCAAGGCAAGCACTCCTGAACTGTGGGCCCCTGTAACTTTGTTCTGTTTTAGAATTGCTGGAGTCCTAGCATCCACCTCAGGCAAGTCAACTGGAGTTTGGCCTTGTTCGGTTTCTTCAGCAGAGGGCGCTGGACCGACACCACAGGAGGAAGGGGCCGGTCGCCCAGGGGGGCCACAGCACCTGCCGGCCTCCATGGGTGCTGCTTTCCCAACATCCTACTGCTCAAACCTCTGGCAAATTCCACCTAGGCACGCCACGGGATCTCCTTGACCCTCGTGCACCCTGGCCAGGCTTCCTCGAGTGAGGTCAGGGTCTGCTTCAGGGACGGGCACCTCGCACAGTGGCGGCCGTATTCTTTGGCGTGGTCTTTATAACTTAGCAGCCAGCCTCTCTTGTTATAACCTCCTTATGATGAATAATGCAGGAGACAGCGGATCTTCAAAGCGCTCATGGAAAATGGATCTGGTGAAAATGTGATGCATGATTTCAAAAAATCTTTTGCATCAAACTTTTTTGTTTTAAATCGGGGGCTGATGTCATGG